CCCCCCCCTTAAGATTTTTTAAATTTTAATTTTTTTTAAAGCAGCTTTTCCTTACAGATTTCCGGAGAACACTTTGTAATTATGAAAGGAAGTTAGAGGCTAAAAAAAGCAATTTAAAGATTTTTGATCTCCTGCTTTTTCAAATGCTGCTTGTTTGCAGTACAAACATGTTTGTATATGTATGACTATATCATCCTTGTATTGTCGCTCTTACTCTATCTGAACAGCTGCTTCAAAAATTACCTGTCTTTGCTATTGTTGCTATATCAAGTTAATTAATGAAATTTTGGAACTGCCTTTGCCTTTCCTTTTTTGGGAGAATTCATACCTTTGATTTCCAGTGCAGTTCTCTGTAATACCTCCTTTCTTGCTTCCACTACTAAAGTCTAAAGCTTTAAATTGCCCCCATCTCCTTTGCTCACTCTCGTGCTTGAGCATTTTTCCACGCAGCTTTCTATTTCTGATGCGGCTCAACAAGCTACGCCGGTAATTTCTCCTGGAGCCATGTTTCCTGCTTGAGGTTTATATGTGTGCTATTGATCTAATTAGTAAAATAAACCGGAAGACTTGATGCTAACCATTCCTGAAAGTTAGATCCCACTGAGGTAGCAGCCTTAGACATGTGCACGTCATGGTTTTGCTTTAGGAGACGTTGAGCGCGGGCAGGAGGAGGCAGGGAGCAGTGGGGATTGCCTTCCGCCAGGGGTCTGGCTGCTGCCGCACAGTGCTCCGGCTGTTCTGGCTGGAAGCATCCAACCCTGATTTAGTTGGATAACTCTGATGTTAGGAATACCAGAAATGCAAATTTGTATGTTTGCACTTCTTTATATTTAGCAAAGAGTGGAATTTGATGGAAAAGCGATCCATGCTATTTGAGGTGGTCAGAGAAACCGATTCTTTTGTACCCGTATTTGAGCATTAGGGCATAAATAACAGACCAGTGAGGCTCAGGTCAACCGTGATGTAACTGGTTAAGCACCTGGATTAATGCCATAAGGGCTGGGTTCAATTCTCAGTTTTGCACCATCTCTTTCTTTTAATGCTGATTTTGGTGGAATGGATCACAAATGATGCCACCGTAACATCAAGTTTGTGTGCTTTTTTTTTTTTTTTTTTTTTTTTGAGAGAGAGAGATTTCAATAAAGATCCTTGCATACTGTTTTTAACTGGGGGAAAAAGTAAACTTTTATTTTCTTATTTGTATTTAACAGGTCTGTATATGATGACCAACCAAATGCACATCAGAGGTTTATGGAAAAACTAGATGCCTGCATACGTAACCATGACAGGGAGATAGAAAAGATGTGCAATTTTCACCATCAGGGCTTTGTGGATGCTATTACAGAACTTCTTAAAGTTAGGGCTGATGCAGAAAAATTAAAGGTAAGGAAGTTTTTCAGAGTTTTATATGCCATTGAATATATCGTTGAATTTGAAAGAAGGAACTTGGCTCTTTTACTGAAGAATAAGAATTTAGTGATTATCACGTACACTCTGATGTTTGCAACAATTTTTTAGAAGTGGATTATTTAGGATTTGTGACTAGAGCTGTGTTGCCTGATCCAGTAATTTACATTTACGAAGCTGAATATTTTATTAGATCTAATTCTGATTTTATTTTTTTTAATGTATGTTTTCAGAAAACATTACCAAAATTATTTTGCCCTTTTTAAAGGCTTTCTCAGAAGGTAAACAACAACAAATGGTAAAGCCAGTATTTCTTACATAAGTCTTTTTCTACTTATGCATTTATATATCAGACCTTAGAAAAATTTAAATTCTTGATTAGAAAAATAAAAATACTGCAATTATGCATGAAAAATACATTTTATTTACTCTGTAATGAGTAGGAGAGTAGGTAGAGTTAGTAGTTTTCATGAGAACTAAGATTTACTCCCAAATCAGAACGCAGAATAGTGAATCATGAGATCCCTCCCTTTTAGCTCTCTTTACACTTTTGAGAGCAAAATATGCACACCAGACAGAATGAGCATAGTTCATCAGAGGTTATGATTAGAAGAGCATTATATAAAGGATATTCAGATAACAAGAGACCAAATACAGCGTCAATGAGGTCATTGAGCATCTTTGTTCAGAAATTAATGAGATTTTTAATAAACTAGAATGTGCTTCCTTATTATGATGACCTAATGAGTCACTTACTATGTGGGAAAATCTGAGGTCGAGCTTTGCCTGCACCTGCAGCATTAAAATGTTGCTGTGGTTTGGAGATTTCCACGTTTGATGTTAATCAACCACCCGGTGTTTGCATTCAGCAAAGTATGAATGTTTAATTACCATAAAATGCAATCACCATTTCTTACAGACAATGAATGGCCCATAGAGCTCATTGAGGTTATCAAAAAGGGACCAGTGGTCAATTGGGTCAATGATTTGAATTGTTTGACAGACCTACAGAAACAAGGAAAGTTCAAAAATCCCAAGTAAATTTGAGAAGTTTGCCACAGAATCTGTTAGAAAGAACTGTCATAAGTAATTGAAGTTAACAAAAGCCCTTTGCGATCAAAAGTTCAAGTTCAAGCTGTAGAGTTAATTTGAATTTGCATTTCTTTGTTCTAAGTTTCTCATGAAGCATGATCTGATTACAAGGGTGAGCAGTCACATCAGGGCAATATATGCATATTTGTCTAACAAAGGTGAAATTATTTTTAAGGTCCAAGTTACTGATACCAACCGAAGGCTTCAGGATGCTGGGAAAGAGGTGAGAAAATGGTGCTTCCTATATGGGCATTATGAATATTTGTAGCAGATTAAATTTATTTGCATAATTCAATTGTTATTGTCTTTTTTTTTTTTTTTTTTTTTTTTTTTTTTTTTTTTTTAAATCTCTAAGGTGATAGCCCAAACAGAGGAAATCATCCGATGCAGAGTTCAGCAACGGAATATTACAACAGTTGTGGAAAAACTACAGTTGTGTCTTCCAGGTGAGTGACCTGTAGCTAAATATGATGGCAAATTAAAGTACTACACAACAGCCAAAACTGAAAAGAATTTATTTTTTAAGTTGTTGTCCTGTAACATCCAGTTTAATAAAAAAATTAATGGGTTTTAAAAAGATGTCAACATGTAAGTTCCATGTCTTTTATAATATTTGACGTAGAGCAATTATGCCACTTTTTGAGAAGACAGTGAGACATACAAATGATGCAAACAATGTAGCCACATACAGCTTTAAATGAAGTAATATTTTGAATATGATAAACAATGAATTTGTTGCTTAAGAGGGTGGATTTTACTGTTTGAATTCTTGGGAAAATACTAATGATTATTTCAACATTGTACTTCTAGCTCTGTGTCATTACAGGCTTTTTTTTTTTTTTTTCGTAAAACATAAGGGCTCTAAGTGATGTATCAGAAAGGTAATAGAATAGGATTGCACACGGCTCTATAAGGGTTTTATCCTGTTTGTGATATTGGTGTAAAACAGATTAGAGAATTTTGCTTTGTAAAGTCTTGCTGTCGACTTCTTATGAGTACAGTAGGTGGTACTGTTGCCATTTAATGGAGACAGGTCATAGACTGGAAATGCAGATAAAGTTACGGTATGTAGTAAGTGAATGAATATGCTTGATATAGATACAGTGTCTACTGTTTTGTTTAATCTTAATTCTTTTTCGTTTAAAAGCTGTTAAGAGCTCAGGGTTTTTTTCTTAGTTGCTTTCTAGAGTATTTTTTGCTAGTTTTATCAGATTTATGTTACAGTAGGAATTAAATAAGGTAAGTTTAGCGTATCCTTTTCTAGAGTTTATTTTGTCCTTTACAGTATGTTTTCCTCTTTTATTAACTAAAGCCACAGTAAGATCCATGGGTTAATCTGCTTGTTTTTATGCAGTGCTGGAAATGTACAGCAAACTAAAAGAACAGATGAATGTAAAAAGGTGAGTGAACTTATTTCTGTGAGTAAAATACAACATTTGTAAGTAAACTGATAGAATAGCAAACACTAATGTAGAGAAGTAAATATTCCAAGTTCTGTAGCTTGGTATGTGTAGTCTTCTTTTCATAACACCTTGTCTGTGCTTCAGGAATGTCATTGTAAGTGAACAAATGTTATATTAAATATAAAGACTTTTAGAAGCTTAGCGATTGCTATGAAAAATAATGCTTACTTAAATAAGCATGACATGCAGTGAAATTATGATTATAAAGTGTGAAGTAAAGTGTATTATTTTTTAATACTTAAAAAAGTTTAAGAAGCAAGAACAATAAGATCCTTAGGGAGTAAAGATCTTTCAGAGTACGTTAATACCTGATTAATATATCATAATGTATTTAAATCAAAATCATAATCCAAGAAAAAGGAACATTTCACTCCACATGCCTTTCTTTAGACCTATCTGGTATCTCTATGCTAATCTTTTGTGTATATGGGACTATGAGAATGAAGTGCAGAAAACGTATTGTGGTTTGGTTTTTTCTCTCTCTGTGACAAATTGACTTGTTAAAAACAAATTAAAATTGTAATTAAAAATAAATTTCTAGAATAATGGTTTCTAGCTGGTACGTGACCAGTTGCTCCTTCCTCTGTTGTATCTTCACTTTTCCATCTTCTCAGAGTGCCACTCTCTGCTGCTGTAATCCCAGTATCCCCAGTTCTCTCTCTGTGGCAGCTTGGCTGCCTCTGCCCCCCGTAGCTGTCATCCTGTCCCGCCGGGGCTGATGCTGCTGCCTTGCACCTCACACCCACCCACCCGAGGAATACTACTGCCGCTGTTTTCTTCCTCCTGATTTCTACAGCATCATTGCCACCTTCATCCCTGCCTGCTTTTCATACAACCTCAGTCACACCGATTGCTCTGTCTTCCCTTATGGATTCATGATCATTGTCATTGCCTCTTTGCGTGCCTGGCACCACTGCAGGGAGCTCCTGCTAACAAGTCTGTCTGGACCTGACTGTTTCCATTTGGCACTAGCTATGCATAGTCAAGTGTCTACAGGGCTACTGTGTCATCTAGATTTACTTTTGGACTGTTTGTCTGGATTTCTGTTGTCTGGCTAGCCAACACCTCCTGCCATACCGCTGAACATCTGAAAACCCTCAACAACGGCCACTGTGTATGAGTAAATCATCTCTAAAGCCTGTGTGCAGACATGTCCAAAATGCATCAGATCTAGCGTACACATCGGATCAATCAGCACTGCCGCAAATCTGATGCATCTTCAGCAGTGGTATATGTGCTACATGATACCTGTGCACACATGCTGTCTGGGAGGTCTTCTGCAGAAATATAAGAGCTTTAAGAATAACATAATAGCTATGGCATTATGCTGTCTCTTACTGCAATCAAAACTTGCTAAATGTGAAGCAGTGTGGTAGATCTTATCAGCTTGACTGCTATACACTATTTCCTCTGAACAGGACACTGGTTCGACATCTGCTTAGAGTAGCTGGCAGCATGTTGTTGCAGTGCTCTTGGAGCAGCTCAGCAGAAAGATGTAAACAGTCTGGCGCCCTTGCTACTCTGGTCAGAGAACAGACTGCAGGGTGTGCTGTGTGAATCGCACCGCTTCCGTCTGCAAAGTGGTCCGTAGAGTGTGCTATGTTTAGTGTGTTGAAAATATGGAAACACTGGGATCAAGGCCTGCATTCTACCATTCCCTTGCTCTGTCAGGCAAGACAAGCAGCATCCCAGTTTTAGAACTGCAAGGGACGTTACAGTTCCTGATGTCATCATGGAGAGATCACTTAGGTGAGACAAAATTGCAGATGGCTTTTAGCATTTTGACTCCATGTTCACTAGTAGTTTTGTGGAGTCCACTGATGGCTGATGTGCTTTCTAAGAAATCATCAGTACTCTTTAAAACTAAATTTCTATTAAGAGATTCAGATCTGAGAATTTTCCTGTGGAAGGAGTTGCCAGACAGGAAGTCTTAAAAGTCAAAGGACGATACACTGAATTGAAGGGTTTGGACATGTCGTTGTCATACCATAAAAAGATCTAAGGGAGAGAGGAGATGCCATAGTTTTGATGTACTATACCTTGAAATCACATGGAGTGCAGAAGGTTTAGACTCTGCTGCAGGCTACTGCTCCAGCTCAGAAATCTCTTTCATTAGCTACACTACAGTTACTACTTTGCCTATGACTTACAATTCCCTATAATACAACCTAGAGGTGGGTATCCTGTGGAACTTGCAGGTAATTCGAATGGTAATTTCCTTGTGGCTTAGCAGGCAACAAATCCAAAGAGTGAGTGTATCCTGGCCTTTATCACTAAGTGATTGAGCAATAGCAAGGACAGTGCAGAGACCTGATAGCTGATACGTGCAGGTACAAAGAATTTCAAAACTGACCTTCCTAAGTTTTGCTGTGAAGCTTTCCTGGAAGAGTCAGAAAGAGGAGCATTTGTAATCCCTCACTTAAAAAAAACAACGAGGGATGTTTATTTGAGGCAAAGATAATTTTTCTCATAAACCTTCACTGAGGTTGTTAATGCAGCAAAGCTTTCATTGGTCTTTTAAAAAAAGACCTCTTCTTTTGACTTTTTCTGCTTGCAGCCTTTTAGAATATATTTTCATTATTCCATTGTCTTACAGTCTTGCACTATGAATTTCTAATCTTTAAAGGAAGGGTAGAAGAAAGTGTGGATATTCTATACTTCTGGGGGATAGTTGTTTTAGGATAAAGATTGGAATTCCGTTTCCTTTTCTCCATGGCAGACACCTTTTAAGATAATGCAGGATTTTGGGGCTGGAATACATACTGGTTTATGCAGATAGAATGGAGGTTTACTGAGGAGTCTAAAAAGCCATCTATTGATAGCAACTTTTGGTCCCTGTGAACATGGGCTACGTTTGAACTGATGACCTAGAGGTGAAAGGCTCTGTATCCTATTTATCTGTTTCCTGAGCCATGCATAACACAAGTTGACAAGAACTATAGTTGTGAGAGGAAGTAACTGCAGAATCTGCTCTAAACAGACACAATTGGCTGGAAAGAGTTATGGAGGGTTTAATGTCTTAGCTGAGGAAGCACAAGGGAGAGGCGTGGTTTCTCCACTGCTCTCCAAAACACCTAGCGGGGGCTATGCATGTAGACCGAACTACCTAGATCTTTAATTTTAAGTCAGAGATAAGATCATCACATATTTTATACAGCTCTGATACCATGGCCTTTGCGTTTAGATCTTGGTATGTGTCTCTGGAGAAAGCTCCCAGCTGCTTCAAGAGATTGTGGTCTAATTGGGAATTGTTAGAACTGGTGTTTTTGCAAGTCTTCTTCCACAATGAGTATTACAAAAAAAACCCCAAACTCGCCATACAATGAAAATAATTGAAGAAATCAATCTGCTAAGGTTGTTGCTGAATCTTCTTGAATCTACTTTGAGAAGGACTAAAGAAAGAGTATGGTCTTTCAGGGTGAGCTTTTTGCCCTGAAAGACTTAGATTTGTTTTCTGAAGTTACTATAAGCTTTCTTCCAAACTGTGGGAAAGACAGAGTTGATTAGTTATTTAGGTTACTAAGTCTCACTGAGACAGTCATGCAGCCTTTCTCTGCATAAACCTTCCAAGCATTCAAACAAACCTGAGGACATAAAGGATGCAAATAGGAAAGCTTCATAATTTATACAATTTGGTTCTACCCATGTCTGTAAAAAAAACCCCATCAAAACATATATTTGCTACTGAACTGTCAGCTGCTTGCTTTCTCACTGTTCTCACAACCCTATTTGTGTGATAATTTCTATTTTTTAAAAAAAATCTATCATGTCATTATGGATGAAAAAGGTATTCCACAGATCTTGGGGTTTTTGCACAGCAACTCTTTAATCTGATTTTCAGAAATACTGCGCTTTGGACTCACTTTACAGAAGTTTCAGAGTTAGTAGTGCCTTGATCTCAGTTCATAGTCCTTTGGGGCAACTGATAAAATTGGTGTGCTGGGGAAGTTTAAAAATTAGGTTTAGAATTGTTAAGGTAACTAGATTTAAAAACAAAATAAATAAATAATTGTTACTGTGGTGAAAAGTTTTCAATTGCAATTTCAATACATCATCTTCAAGAACTCTGTGAATGTGACTTTTCTATAGTATTATTGAAGAATTCCAATAAGGTCCCTTAAATTTGTTTGGTAGAGTACAAAAAGTTTTTCATATTTACTTAATGGAAATGTAGTAAGCAGGAATATACAGTATTTGCCTCTGAGGGAAGCACAAAAGTTGGAGAACACCACTAATTTTTCTTTGTAAATTAAGTTTGTTTCCTTAATTAAAATAAAATGAGAATTTTAAGGTTATTGTCTCTCCTCTTATT